TTTTAAAAAGTAAATAAATATATAGTATTTATATATATGTATATAAAAGATATTTATCTTATATGAATTAGATCATTCTTTTTCCTTTCCTTAATTTTCTAATTGTTAGGATTAAAGTTTCTAATTTTTTACAAAAAAAGGAATTGTTCTCTAAATTCAAGCTATGCTATAGTTAGTATCTTTGTAAATGTCTGGGTAACAGATATTATATGATAAATATGTAGCAGCAGTGAAAAGAAATATTTAGAATATTATTGATACTACAGTAACCCCCCAAAAAAGTTGTATGAATTTATATTTCTACTCATAGTTCATGAATGAACCTATTATTTCACAAATCAAATTTAGTATTTATTTGTATAATTATAAAGTAACTGACTTTTAACATAATTTGCTTTATTTGTGATTGAAACTTAGTATTTTTTCATGTTTCATTAGTGTATATGTTCTGTAAATTGCCCATGTATATTTTTTACTTGTATTTCTACTAGGTTATTTATCTTTCATAATGATTTGTAGTAATTATTTGTTTATTCTATTAATCTTTTGTCTGTTGTGCAAGAGGAGCATGTATTTATACATTTGTATAATTTTTCATCTTTATGTGCACATTTTAAGTGTGCATATATATGAAATACATGTGCAACACACTTTTGTTGAATATATACAACAAACTTCATAGTATCTTCTGGCATTTTGAGATATGAAATTTTTATGTATTAAAATTCTATATTGATTTCAGATTTTGTGTCTTTTTTACAAAGGTCTTTCACAGCTCTTTATATGGTAGAGCAATTTATTCTGTTCTTCCAAATTAATTTCCGAGACAATTTGCCAATTCCTCTGCAAAAAAAAAAAAAAAAGGAAAGAGAAAATTTTCATTGAAATTCTGACTAGAATTGAATTAAGTTATTTTTTATGGGGGTATAAGATTAATCTATTTCATCTTAAAAGATGGATATACTTCCATTCCATTAAGGTTTTTGTTTTGTTCTGTTTTGTTTGCAGATTAGGGTTTGAACACAGGGTCTTTGTACTGAGCTACATCCCCAGCACATTTTTAATACTTGTTTTGAGATGAGATCTTGCTAAGTTGCCCAGGCTGGATTCAAAATCATAATCCTCCTATTTTCGCCTCCTAGAATCCTGGAAACACAGGCATGCATCACCTTCATTAAGTATTTTTAAATTTATATTAACAAAATTACATAGTTTTCTTGCTAAGGGTCTTGCTCCTTTTTGTAAGGCTTATTTCTAAGTGTTCTATCAGTTTTTAAGTAATTTGATCTTGTAAGTTCCAGAATATCCAGGTAAAATAAATGTACCTACTAAACTTTTTGAAATAGGAGGAAGTGGAGGATGAGGATCATGATGAGGAGGAAGAGGAAGCAGCTAGCATTTACTAGGTTCCAAGCATTTCTCTAAGCTCTTTACACATAATTATTTAATTTAATTTATAATAATGCTATGAGGTTATTATCTTTTTTTCCTGAGAAGGAAACAGGCACTGAGAAGTTAAGTAAATTCCACAAAGTCTCCTAATTAATAGATGCAAAGATTGAATACGAATTCAAAGTGTCTGCCTCCAGAGCCCATGATTTTAACCAGAGCAGCATTTTGACCTCTTATGACATGAGTCTATTTGTATGGAGATAGATAGGAAATGTTTTTACATTTATTAGAACCAGCAGGTTTTCTTCCTCCTATTACACTACACTACATCAACAAATGAGTTCTAATTTAAGGGGTAATTTCACTCACTTGGCTGGATACATGCTCTGATGTTTTAAGCTCCACAAAGAGCATCAACTCTTCAGGATAGGACTCAGCAGTTTAGAAAGTCAAGAATAGTCACTTTTGAGATTCTAGTCTTTGAAAGTCCTACACTCTACTTACAGCTGAAGAAGATCTTAGAAACAGAGCTATACTTCCTTTTTTAATTTTCATGGGGAAAGTTCCACTTTTTTGCAGATTAAATTAACATACATCTCTATGGCTCTGGTTTCTTTGGATTCAGTGTTTTTATAGGAACAGAGAGCTCCAGCTTTTCTTTTGGGTGAGTACTCCTTAAACTTTCCACTTTCTTTAAGAGCACTGAGAGCCAGGTGTGTTGGTACATGCCTGTAATCCTAGCACTTGGGAGGCTGAGCCAGGAGAATTTCTGCGAGTTCAAGGCCAGCCTAGGTTACATAGCATGTTCGAGGCCAGTCTGAACTCCATAATGAGACCCTGTGTATATAAAAAAAAAAGCTCTGAAATCTTTGTTAGTAATCACTATCATTTGACATATGTATCACTATAATTTGGAAGAAAATGGAAGGGTCACATGTGTAGTCTGTGGTTAAGGATGAGGTAAAGTAGGTTATGGAGCATTCTAGTCCTTCTGGGCTTCTACTCTAACATATAGTGTTATAGAGGCTATGAGATGACAGGGATTTAAAATTTTTGAACTACTCTGTTGGAAATTTGGAGAATCCTAAAGTATAGTAATGAATGGGGGTGATAATTTGGCATTGCTAATGGCAAATATAATCAAGCAACTCTAGACTATCTCAGTGAAGTAAGAAACTGAAGCACATAGATATTCAGTAACTTCCACAAGCTCCTACACAGCTCAGTGAAGGATTTTTTTTTTTAGATAGGGTCTTGCTATATTGTTCAGGCTGGCCTAAACTCACTCTGTAGTCCAGGCTGACCTCAAATTAGAAGCGATGCTCCTATCTCAGCCTCCTGAGGGCTAGGATTACCGGTGTATACCGCCACACCCAGCATGAACTAAGGGTTTCTAATCCTAGGTATTTTATGATGCTCTTGTAAAGTCAATTTTTCATTAGTTCTACATTTATTGAGCACCCACTCTGTTTTAGGAAGTGTGTAAAACTTTCAGGATACAGCAATAAACAATCCTTCATGGGATTTCTAGTATACTTTTTGACACATACTGCTAGAGTTAAATGTTCTGGAATCACAAACAGGATTAGTTCCTTGAAGAAGGTAAACATCAAAGAAAGGACTTCAATTAGAAAGGGCATTTTTTTCTGAGTCTCAAAGACTGGATATTTTAGGTAGTGTTTTTTTCTGGCTCATTCAGTGTTTTCTCAGAATCTTGCTTTATCAGGTAGGTCTGCACTATACCTTTATATGTGCTCTTTCCATGTTAGTGATTTTTCAATTTTTAAAAAAGTTTATTGTATATTTATACTATTATTAAAGTAGAAAATAGAGAAACATATCAATATATTTTTATTTATTTGGTAGTGCTGGAGATTGAACCTGAGGTCTCACATATCCTGGGCAATTACTGTACCACTGGTCTATATCTCTCCCCCAAAAGACTTTAAAAACTGATTTAAAACCTTGTAACATCAAATATTTGTATGTCTTTCTTTGCATTTTATTTCTGTACATGCTGTTTTGTTTTGTTGTATATCTTTTAGGTCTAGATTGGGGTGTTTTGATATATGTATACATTATGAAATGATTACCACAACCAAGCTAATTGGAATATTCATAACCTCACATAAATACCATTTGTATATTTCCTATAAAGACACTTAAGATCTACTCTTTTAGAAAATTACAGTTATTCAATATTTTGTCATCAGTACATTATTATCTTTATAGTCACTGTGCTGTATGTTAGATCTCTCAAACGTATTCATCTTATAACTAAAAGTTTGTACTCTTTGACCAAAAATCTCCCATTTTCTCCAACCCCCAGCCCCAGGAAACTATTGTTTTACTGTTTCTGTCTTTAAGATGTCACATATGAATAAGATAATACAGCATTTATCTCTCTGAGTCTGCCTCACTTCACTTAGTGTATGTCTCTAAATTCATCGATGTTATTACAAATGACAAAATTTATTTCATTTTGTGACTGAATAACTTTCAATTGCATGAGAGAGTGAGAGAGTGAGAGAGTGAGAGCAAGAGTGAGAGGGAGAGAGAGAGAGAGAGAGAGAGAGAGAGAGAGAGAGAGAGAGAATATATATCCCATGTTTTCTTTATCCATTCATCCATCAGCAGGTTGTTTCCATATATTGGCTGTTGTGAATAGTACTATAACGAACATGACAGTACAGATATCTCTTTGACATACTGATTTCATTTCCTTTGGATGTAACTCCAGAAGTGGATTGCTAGATCATGTGGTAGTTCTATTTTTAGTTTTTTGAGGAATCTCCGTACTATCTTCTATAATGACTGTATCAGTTTGCATTCCTAACAACAGTATACCAAAGATCCCTTTTCTCCACATCTTTTTCAAACTTATCTTTAAAAACAACTTATTATGGCCATCTTAACAGGTGTGAGGCAATATATTAAGTCCCTGACTTATGAACATTTGAGTTGCAGACCTTCACAAGTATGAAGGGACCTCTCATTAAAAATATTCATAGACATGAAGAAATCATGGAAGTGGCTCATGTGTCTGCCAGACATTATCACAGTTGTGCTGCTGTGTGCTTACTGTACAATGCGATAGTGTACAGTAGCACAGTGCTTAATCAGAGCACAGGATGTCTGAAAGCAAGAGGAAAAACAGTGGCAATACGGAAGGGACTGCTAGGACGTGCAAAGCAATATACTCCTGGAATAGAACTCATTTGCAAGTTAGAGACTTACTGTATCTCATTGTGATTATTTTTGGTAGTGCTAGGTATCAAACTTAGGGCCTCCCACATGGTAGGCAACACTCTACCACTGAGCTACATCTTTACCCCTCACTGTGATTTTGCTTTACATTTTCTTAATGATAATGATGTTGAATACACTTTTATATATCTGTTAGCCATTTATATGCTATATTTGGGGAAATGTCTATTCAAGTGCATTCTATTTGCTTATATAGCCATGATAATACATGAATTTACTCTTAAATGAAGCTCTCAAGTCCTACCTATCACCACTCTGGACCTCTGGGTCTGAATACAGGGTTCAGCACTCACATTGACTGATTGCCTGTTTTTTTCCTGTTCCTTGTTTTATTTTTCCAGGTGTGCTAATGATCTTTTCCTTGATATCTGTCACATATGGCGCTACCCTCTGCAATATGTTGGCTATCCAGATCAAGTATGATGACTACAAGATTCGCCTTGGTCCGCTAGAAGTCCTCTGCATCACCATCTGGAGGACATTGGAGATTACTTCTCGCCTTATGATTCTGGTGCTCTTCTCAGCCACCTTGAAGTTGAAAGCTGTGCCCTTCTTGGTACTCAACTTCTTGATCATCTTCTTTGAGCCCTGGGTTAACTTCTGGAGAAGTGGTGCCCAGATGCCCAATAATATTGAGAAAAACATCAGCCGGGTTGGCACTTTGGTGGTGCTAATCTCAGTCACCATCCTCTATGCTGGCATCAACTTCTCTTGCTGGTCAGCATTGCAGTTGAGGTTGGCAGACAGAGACCTTGTTGACAAAGGTCAGAACTGGGGACATATGGGCCTACACTACAGTGTGAGGTTGGTAGAAAATGTGATAATGGTCTTGGTTTTCAAGTTCTTTGGAGTTAAAGTATTACTGAATTACTGTCATTCCCTCATTGCCTTGCAACTCATTATTGCATATCTGATTTCCATTGTCTTCATGCTCCTTTTCTTCCAGTATTTGCATCCATTGCGCTCACTTTTTACTCGTAATGTAGTGGACTACCTGCACTGTGTCTGCTGCCACCAGCACCGTCAGAGAAGGGCTGGGAACTCAGAGCCACCCTTTGAAGCCGAAACAAGACAAAGCATTGTCTGATTCTGTCTTTTGGGTATCATGGGATGGGTTGCGGGTTGCCAAGAGGAGCTATGAAATTGAAGGCGAGGATGAGACTCATGGGTGAAAAATCAGCGTAACATTTTCTTGCCAGCCTATCAGAAGAAACAGTGACCCCCAAATAAGGTTTTATTTCTTTAAGATTTGTTGCTAGTCAGGCCTAGTGTTGCACACCTCTTATCCTAGCTACTCGGAGAGGCTGAGGCAAGAGGATCACAAGGTTGAGACCAGACTGGGCAATGTAATGAAACAATAAATAAATAAGTAAGTAAGTAAGTAAATAAAATAAGTTGTGATGTTGCTGTGTGGTATAGTGATTTCCCATCATGCACAATGCCCTGGGTTCAATAACTAATACCACACAAATGGAAAAAAAAGATTTACTGTTATGTTTAGATACCAGGTGTCTTGGTTACTCTTTTCATTGCTGAGACAAAATACCCAACACCCAAAGTTAAAGGCGGAAGGGTTTATTTGGCTCACAGTTTGTGGGGGTTTCAGTCCATAATTTGCTGGTTCCAAGGCAGAGTGACACACAGCAGAGGGGCAACAGTTCATGGCAGCAGAAGACAGCAAAATCAGTAAGACAGAAAGCAAGACAAGCCTCTTTCTGTCGCCTATATTGTGTCCACTTTACTGGGATTAGGGCAGTGCCAATCCAATCAGTGGACTGATGTGGAAACCACTCACCCTTAATCCCAGCACACTTAATCTCAGTGTTGCACTATGAATCAATCACATGCTTTTGATTCAGCTACCTCCAAAAAAACCCTGTAACTGCATGAGGCTCTGAGGGGACATCTAGAAACAAACCATAACACCTATGATATCCACTATATAGTTGAAAGGGTCTGAAATTCTGTTCATATCACTGTTACCCAAGTCAGCTGGGATTAATTACCTGCAAGCACATTAATCTCTGTGATTTTTCTCATCTGCCCATTTGCTTAAGGTATTACTGAGCTTTTCCTTGCTAAACTGGAGGCAGAGAATCTCCTGACTGATAAGTAGAGGCAACAGCTTGCTAACTATGGATACCTCCCAGGAAACAATCTGACTATTATGGAATCTGTGTGCCTGGGATATTAATTTGAATGAGAAGCTCTGCCTCAAAAGAAAACCCTCACTGTTGAAAGAGCTGTCCCCCAAATGAGTTAGCTCTCCATTCGAATTTTACTAATAGTCATTAAGCAAGGAGGGTGTACAGAGTAGAATTTCTTCAGCGTATAAGCCAGAATGACTCGTCTTAGGAACTTACATGAGCCACCAGCTTGTCAAGCGGAATTATTGAGTGGAATCTCTCACTGCTTCATTTATATGGATTCCCTTCGACCCAGCTTTTCTGTGCTCTTACTGTTTGACATTCACCTCTGGGAAGCTGAAATCTAATTGAAAATATTTCGGGTGTGTGAATGAAATGCAGACTGTTTTGTGTCTGCTAATGTCCTGAGTATTAACATTGCTTTTTTTAGGGAGGAGAGAAAATAATAATGGCTGGGATGTCACCTTCATGTTGCTGGGGGTTGGAATTGTTGGCTAACACTTCCGAGGTAGAGTGAAAGCGGTGAGAACCTAGACTGCATTAAATATCATCAGTACTGATTTCTGCCTGCAAGGTTTTACTTTCTAATATGTAGTATAGGTTCGTCAACTCTTTGATCATTCCCACAGCACCAGTGGATGAAAGCATGTCTCCCTTTCTCATGTATCTCTATGTTTATACCTTATGTCAGCTGGATATTTTGATGGACATGTTGGCTGAATGCCTCTAAAGTAATCCAGCAATTGAGGTTACTATGACTGCTGCTGATTGGGACCAAGTATCCCATCATTTACCTAATTAATGCTTATCCCTCACAGATCAAGAAAGTGAGGAGAACACCTAGTAGTGTGTGCCAGTTGTGGCACCACAGTGCTTCATGAAATTGTAAATAATATGACCTTGGGTTCTCCAGCCCCATCCAATTTTACTCGTGATCATGCTAGAGGTTTATGTTTAGTCATTCCCCGCTTCTTTCATACAGTATCAGGGCATTATATCAGAGGGAGCTTTTCCTTCTAAAGCAGCAGGGCTGCTAACCAGAATTATCTCATTTCTTGGCATGGCTAACGCGGTTTCCCCAACTTCCACTGAGGGTTTGGAGCTAAAAGGATTAGTTAATGAATTTAGGGGAGAATGTAGTGTCTTACTTTGTGCTGTGGTTTAGATCTAAAATACCCGTCCCCCAATCTCATGCATGGCGGTAGGGTCTGACTGGAAGGGTCAGGTCACGAGGGGTGTGCTGTGGGAGGGTATGTTCTCAGCCCTGGCTCCTCCCTTCTGTCTCTGCTTCCTGGCCAACATGAAGTGAACAGCTTTCCTCTGCCGTGTCCCTCCTTCATGCCATTTTTGCCTTAAAGCCTATAGGCTGTACACTGGAACTTCTCAAACTGTGAGGCAAAATCACAAAAGCTCTAAGGTCTTAAGTGTGTGACTGATTGGGCCATGTTGTTAGGACAGGCCCTCTGAGTTTTATACATTTTAAAGAATCTCCTTCTTTAAAATGTCGGTGTCAGGAATTTTTTTCTAGTGGTAGGAAAGTGACTAGTACATTTTAGAACAGTGGAGACTTTTTTCTCACAATCAAAATTTTCTTATTCCATTTTTCATAATGAAAAAATGATTTAGGTTTTGCTATATAAAGCTCACACCAACTCTGTTACTCAAGGTGAACTTGAAAGAAATAATCTATCAGACCTCAAAAAAAAATATTATCTCTGTGGAATTAAAGGAAAGAATTTCTTCCCAATGAAAAGCATGCCCTCGATTAAGAACAGGAGCACCACAGAACAGTAATTTGGTCTATAAAAGTCACATGAATCAGCTACTTAGGAGGATACCATAGAAACATGTACACACACATACACACTGAGTCAGGCAGGCTAATTAACCTAGAATGGAGATGTACGTGGAGGAAAGGTGTGATTCAGTACTGGACCAGGCAAAAATTACCCCTCATGTGTCTTCCCAGCCTTGATGACTTAATATTCTAGGAATGCGTAGAGTTTAGGACGAAGGGTGTGAGGTACGTTTCAACCTGAAAAACCTGCTTCCCCCACCCAAGGAGAGGAGATTCTACTGATACATTATGCAAATGAACTCCCAGAACCTCCTTTAGGTGGTTGTCTTTCTATTCCACAGAAATTTTGCTGATACACAGAAGGAATTGTGCAATCTGGGGTGATGGGTGACATAGGTACCTTCCATTGGTAAACACTAATTGATCATTCTCTTTTTACCTTTTCAAATCTTAAAGCAATACAGGGCACATGTGAGAGATAAGTCTTGTTGAGTGGAAAGGAGGTAAAGATGGGGCCAGTGGATGGTTTCTGGAAAAGGAAGGCAGAATCATCAATTTTGGGGAAAAGACGTTGGCTATTGTGACAGTAGCAATTCTCCTATTATTGGGAATTTGGTAGGCTAAGTACAGGCACATTAGCATATTGCAGAAATGGAATCACAGTAAATAAACTAATAGTTGTCAATTTCATTTACTTCTCAAATATTTTAGAGACTATAGGGTCATAACTGTGAGGCTCTGTGGGAGAATTAAATAATAGCTTATATTTACAAGCACTTACTCTATGCCTGCCATAGTGCTATGTGCTTCATGTATTTATTTCATTCCATTCTCACAGTCACTCTGATCAGGTAGATATTTTTATTTTTTTGTTTTCCTTTTTTTTTTGTTTTTCTTCCGGTACCAGGAATCAAACTCACGACCTTGTGCTTGCCAGGCAGGCGCTGTGCCGCTGATCTAAATCCCCAGCCCCCAGGTAGACATTTTTTTTATCCCCTACTCACATGTTTTAAGGTACAGAAAGGTTAAGTGACCTGCCCAAGGTTACAGTATCAGAGCCAGCATTAGGTCTTAGCCACACAGATCCTGCAGTTTATAGACACTTAATCATTACCCAAGCCTATAGATCCTCTTCGGTCTTTGTGAAATTATTTTACTGGTAGTAGTTTTAGAAATATTTTGTGAAATAGAGTTTGTGCTAAACATTATTTCCCATAAACACTTCTTTTTGGTACCGAACATTGAACCCAGGGCTGTAGTTAGCACTGAGCTACATCTCCAGTCCTTTAAAGTTTTTTTTTAAATTTTGAGACAGATTTTTTTTTGAGACATAGTCTCGCTATGCAGTTCAGGAGCTGGGCTTGAACTCACTATGTAGCCCACGCTGGCCTCAGACTAGTGGCTGTCTTCCTGCCTCAGCCTCCCAAGTACTGGAATTACAGGCCTACGCTAAGACAGGGTTTTACTCACTAAGTTACCCAGGCTGGATCTGAGCTTGCAATCATTCTGTCTCGGCCTTCCAGAGTGCTGGAATTACAGGTATGCTTCACCATTGCCAGTTTTACAACCACTTCTTACTAGAGGACACCACTCAATTCCCTCTAAAGAGGGAAGAGTCAAGTTCTTAAAAAAACTGGGATGAAAACCAAGTGAGTGTTTGCATACACTTGTAGATTAGTATTGAGGGAGTGAGAGGAAGGATGGCAAAAGGGTCCATTTTCCAGTTTCAGGACTATTCACATGTATGTTCTTAAATGTATACCTTCCAAACCCTGGTTGTGGGAAGAAAACTGGGGGAACAATAACCACTCAGGCTTGTATGAGCCCTCACCCCAGAGACAACCACCCAAGGAAGTTCTGAAGCCCATTCTTTTATACTTCCTTTGTCTGCAGTACCCTGACTGCTACTGAGAAGTTAACTCCTAATTCTAGCAGAAATGGATGGTGGAGATTAATGCCCATCCGTCTGCTGCCACAGTCCTGAGAGCCTAGGCAAGCTTTTAGTGCCCTTTTTGCTAGTACCTTCATACTTGTACCTTATAAGGTTTTGGTTCTTGGTATTACACAGTTTATTGCCACTTCTTGGGGTTGGGCAGGTACCTAGGGTTGGATGTTCACCAGGATGGTTCATGTGAGACCTTGGATCTACGTCTTTTAAAAATCTTTGAGTACAAAATCGGTTGACTCTGAACTCTCCAAAATATCTATCCAATAGTGAGAATCCCCATTCTCTGAAGCTTTTGCTATTGTGTTTTCCTACTGTCTTTAGAGAACACATATGTTCATAATCTGACTCCTTACGTACTGAAGGACTGACCCAATCAGTCACACACTTGAGACCTTAGAGCCTCTGTGATACACAGTGAAAATATGTTGTGGGCCTTGGGAACAAGCACAGGCCATGTGAAACAGAACTAGT